TCTTTTTATCATGCCTGTTTTTATTCACTTGTTATTTTATTTTAATTGTTTTACACTGCCCAGAATCGCTTTGCGTGAGATGGGCAGCTATATAAATGTGATGCATATATAAAATAAAATAAATAAATATCAATTGTTACTAACTACACCTTTTCCTGGGCAGACCTGGCCTTGCCACAGCAATTTATGTACTGGTAACCTCAAGGCTGAACTACGGTAATATACTCTACATGGCACTCCCCTTGATTTTATTTTATTTTATTTTTTTTAAGAAACAGCAGCTAGTGCAGAAAGCTCTGGCTAGATTACTCAAATAGGCCTACCCAAACTTGATTTTCTGGTAAGAACTGTTATTATAAAGATGCAGGCATTCCTTGTAGTAGTGCCTCCCATATAGAACAAATTTCCAATGTACACTAGGCTGCCTTCTGTTAGAAGTATGTTGTATTAAATTACATTAAAATAAACAGTAAAACTAAAAATTAATTGAATTAAAATTATCTCTTTCTCAGGCCTTCTCTTGATTTTCTTCTTTACTTTTCATCAGATGTCCTAAAGATGATCACTTATTAAATAACTGATAGTTTTATTTGTTTTACTGTTTTTTAATTTATTTTTTATTTCAACACTTCTGTTATACTGCCAAGAAATGCAGTATATGATGAAATCAACTCTGGAGGCGAATATGTGTAGCTCAGGGTTGAACTGTGGAGTCCTTGGGGTTCTCTGAGCTTAGAAATCATCTCTATCAAGCTATTTTTATCTGGATCAACTTCATTTCATAATTCCAAAGCCCAGCTTTGCTGGCTCTTAGATTCATAAGAAAGGAAAATGAAGGCAACATTCTTCTTATTATTTCAAATTTCAGGAAGACTCATTCAAACAGTAATTTGAAACCAAAACAATAGGCCCATCTGATTCCCAATTCCTTAAGCCAAACAAGGAGAATGGAAGAGCAACAGTATTGGAAGCTGCTGAGAAGTGGAAGAAAATCAACTTGGTCATACCATGTCTTTCATTCAATTAGAAGAGTCATTAAAGAACTCCCAGACAGAAGTAGAAAATCAACTTCATGCTGAAGTGTCTAGAACTGGTTGGTAACCCACTTTACCAATCAGTTCCAGGCAATTCACCATGAATTTGATTAACACATTTAATCAGCTAGCCCTGAAATGGCAAGTTAGATGTAAACCAAAAATTATTGAAATTGCTTGACTCAAGAAAAGGTTTCTGTTTATAATTAAGTCACTTTCAGTTAATAAAATAAATGTACTGGCAATTGCAATATAAAGATGTACAAAAGTGCCCTTAAGTATAATTGAAAAGAGCTGATGTATTAAGAATTGTAACTGGTCATTCTCAACAGTGACTTATTAAAAAGAAGCTGCTGTGAGACAGAACATTTGCCAAGCACAGATGTAGTTGTCAAATGTGCAAATGTTTATTTCCTTGGGCCAGCTTGGAGTTAAAATCCAATGTGAACACCTCATTATTATTCTACCTGAGTCAGCAAGGACACATTGCTCAGCATATGGCCAGCACTGTTTATGGGTTTCATGGGATCTGCAGGAGAGTCAGAGTCAAAGCAACACATGCTTTTCTTGGACAGGAGGACAAGGAGGATGGAAGATGCTCAAGAGGTTCTTGGTCCTATGCAAATTAATCAAGTGAAACATTGCAGGTAGCATGTGGCCTACATGATTGGTACTGTTTTACCAAGAACAGTGCAAGAGTCAGAATAATTAATTAATAATTTCTACTTTTAATTTAGCTCAACCAGCTTTTCAGTTTTTTAAAATCATAACATTTGTGCAAACATGCATTTCTTCCTAATTACCAGGTGGTAAAATGCTACTACCAAGTACAGAGACCCTATTTAAAGATTCCTGGCAATGAATTTATTCTACTTTCAAAAAGATGACTAAGCAATTTGTCCCAAATTCAGTATGGAAAAATGGCTATATATCTGCAAATATGTATCTGGCCTGAAATGGACTATAAAACAACCAACAGAAATAGTTGTATAAATGTGTGAGAGAGTATGTGTGTGCATTCCCCTGACAATATCTATTTTTTTCATAGACAAGTATTTGGTGGGGAAGGGGATATTCATGAAATCAGAAATATGGCCAAGAAACAACAAGAATAAATTGTGATCTATTTGTGAAGTAGACTTCAGTTTCTGCTGTTTCTAAACACTGTATGAACCTTACCAACTTATATATCTCAACATCAAAAGAAGTTTCTTACCGCAACAGCTTCAGAAAATGTAACAAACTAAAGAACACAAACTGGAAAAAATATAAATGTATTTCAAAATAGTAGTAGCTGAAATTCAGATTCTTGAGGTAAATTTCTGTATTTGGTGACCTTTTTTTTAATTTCTGCATTTAAGAATATTACAGTATATGTATTTGTGTGTGTGTGTGTGTGCGTGCATGCATCTGTGTACACAAACACAGAGGTACACATCCTTAGAGATCCTTATTATAATACAGAGAGAAAGAAAGAGAGAGAGAGAACATTATACTGTATATAGGCTGAGAAAGTCACAGAACGGAAAGAAAAGGGAGGAGAATATTTTTAAAAAAACAGAAATGAGGACAAATGGAAACAAATTGCTTGCTAGCTAGAACCAGAAGCTCGGGAGGCTGTATTGATGACCATCTTCATTAATCATTCCCTTGACTTAAAGCAACCACTTCAGGGTGAGATATAAATCAATTTGATTACTTGTGTAAGTGTTCACCAATGTGAGAAATTGGTTGCACAATCTACACCTTCCAGCTGAGTGGTATATATCTTTTATCTAAAGAGAGGCTTTTGTTAGGCAACCTACATTTTCTTGACTTCTGATTGTGTAAAAGAGGGAAATATAAGTTGTGTTGGGGATGGGGGGGGGGACTGAAGGCAGGATACAACAAGAAAGTAAAAACACAGAGAGAAAGATATGCTGTTCTAATTTCCCATCCCCTCCACGTGGTTTAACTATAAAGGTTATCATTTGGGATTATTTAAGCCTGTTATGTCTTAATTAGGAACAGAGATATGGCATTTTTCAAAGTTAGAATTAATTTCTGAAAGTAGCTTGCAATTATTACTGTCTAAAAGCCATATTAGAATATGTATGTAGTCATTTGGGAACTAAAGGCTAAAGGAGGCTACTCCTGCTTGTAGCTTTGAAAAAAAAAAAAAAGCAAAAAGTCATACTGTTTTTGATGTGTGACCTTTGAAAAGAAATCATTTATACTATTTTTGCTACAGAAAATGCAGACAAAATTGTAATTTGTGTTTTAATGCAGCCTTCCCCACTCTGAATCCCTTCAGATATGCTGTGATTCAATTTATCTTAAGCCCAGCCAATGTTTCAAATCAAACACAGCTTATATAATGTTAAATATTCTGTTAGTTCTCTCTGGTAATATACTATAGTTTAAACTTAAGAATTCAAGATAATATGCTTGACAGGAAGCTGTATCCATGAGTTGTATCCACACCATTACACTTTAATGAGAAGATCCATTAAAAGTATATCTAACATGTGAATCTAAGGAATAACTGGACAGAGAACTGAAAGAAGAGGCCTCAAATGATAGGAAGAAGATCTAACAAGATTTGAAAGCCTTTATGAAAGTAATTGATTGCCCCATCACTATAATAAGCTGCTCTTTGCTTAAGACAACATTCTTTCCAATGAAAAGTATCTTCCTGAATGACAGAACCATCTCCTTTTTTGTTGTATTAAATGGCCGCAACTCTAAGAATCCTTGTTTTAATACCCGTGTTTTTGATCAGATGCCTTGCTAGTGAGTGCTTTGCTGAAGCAAATACAAATCTGACAAAGCACAAAAAGGTGAAGACAATCACCTAATTTTGTTTCCATGGAACCAGATTCAATTGGTACTACCTACTGAGAGGGTATGTTTTAAAAGCTATAAAGTGAAGGGATGCCTGACTTACTCAATTATAAACAATTGCTTGTAATGTTATCTGTTTTGATTCACATTAAATTACCCTGGTGTTCCATTATACATTGAGATTTCTGTCTGACTATCTATTTGATTTCTTAGATGATATTTTAAATAGAAGAGACAGGACACTTCTCAGAATATGCTAATGAAAGACAATACGATACATTATAAAGAGTATATGTGGATTCCTCTTGGAAACAGAATTAAGTATAGTATCACAAAAAGGATTTGATTGTTCCTGAAGTTCCATCTACAGAATCATGCATGTTCAACTGTTTAAGCACTGTTATTTAGAAATAAGCTCCCCAAAAGGATTAATAGTAATATAAAAGGCCAAGTCAATATATTTGAGGGTAAAATCTTGTATCTCCTTATATGGCAATAAGCCTTACTGAATTCAGAGGGACTTAGTTCCAAATAGGGGTACACAGAATTGCAGTTCTAAAGTTTTCCTCTGTAAGTTATAGAAATAAAATAACATCCATAGCAATAACAAATGAAATTATAAGATACATTTAGCAAAGAAACAGAAAAGTGAACGGTGGGGTGGGGGAAATAAAGGCCTTAAGATATCAAATTTGGCACTAGACTGGGAATGGACTTTCAGAACTGGGATGTTACATATACCTATCAACATATTTGTGTGGAAGAAAGTTCAAACTAACTTTTAAAATGAAGACTACACATATTGTTGACTACATGATAGTATTGTTTCTGGATTGTACTACCCCAAATTGTGGAGGAACAAACAACAAATGCCCAATTCCATAAAATTCACCAACAAATAAAGAAGGGAGGTAACCTAGCACAATCTTCGTTTTCTATACATATGATTAGAAATAAAGGGATCTGTAGCTAAAAAGACAAATGATTGGACTTGAATTAGGACCATCACCCTCATCCCATCCACCATAGCCCAATGTTACATAAAATGACAGATCATGTAAATAATCTTTTTTATTTCAGGAAACCTTTCACAAGTTTCTTGTTGAAGGATTATGAAGTCAAATGAGCTCTAAAGTAACTTACATGATCAATTAGTTCTCGAACCATGCCATTCCATTGTCCACTACCATCATCCCGGGCTCCATATTTTCCATCTTCCACCAACCTAATTTCATAGGTAAATCCAAGGAAGGTTGATAGTTCCCTAAGGAGATCGATACAATATCCCTCAAATCTATCATTCCCATATAAAGGTTTATCAGATTTCTTGAACATCACATATGGCTCTTCCTGGAAAAAAAAAAAAGAATATAAATACAGAGAAAATGGAATTCAACTGTTATTTTTTAAGAGACGAATACTTTTCTATGATAGAATTTCTAGAGTTGTAGCAATTCAAAAGAGATATTTTGTAAGTACAAGAGTACATACAAAACACTTCTTTTTAAATCAGTAAAGTCACACCGTCATTTGCAAGGCTGCTTCAGAAGCTATTCCTGGATATATAAATATATATTTATATTTCAAATTTAGATACCGCCCATCTCACAAAGAAGTGACTCTGGGAAGTTCACAATAAAACAACAATAAATATTAATTAAAATACAGTAAAAACAGTATAAAATGCAGTAAAAATATAATAAAACTAAACACATGCACGAATAATAATATCTTCCAAGATGCTGATGATCAGTAAGACATTAACTTATGGGAGCATCTTCAAGGTGTTAGCCACCCTCAGGGTTGGTTGCCCCATTTTTTGCCCAATGCCAGTTGGCACAGCCAGGTCTTGACTGCTTTCCAGAAGGACAAAGCCTCCTTCACCTCTGGGGGGAGAGTATTCCATAGGGTGGGGGCCATGGCAGAGAAGGCTCTCTTTCTGGACCCCACCAGTTGACATTCTTTCATTGACACGATCTGTAGCATACCCTCTCTGCCTAACTGGGTGGGACGGGTGGATATAATGGGGGTGAGACGGTCCCTCAGGTAACCCAGTCCCCTGCCATGTAGGGCTTTACAGGTGATAACCAACACCTTGAATTGGACCCAGAAGCAAACTGGGACCCAATGCAGCTCACACAGCAAATGTGTAACATGTGCCATCTTTGGGGCATCTAAAATTGCCCATGGGGCTGCATTTTGAAATAGCTGAAGCTTCAAGATACTTTTCAAGGGTAGCCCCATGTAGAGCGCATTACAATAGTCTATACGGGAGATGACTATGGCATGAGTGATATCCCTTATGTGCACAGAGGTAAGGGTGAATGCTATCTTTATTGAGAGACAACTTACTTTTGATTTATTCAGCTATTACTAGGGGAATATATCTTTCCTAGTTGAATCTGAAATGGGCACTTTCTCCAGTTTAGCAACTGTGATTACATAATTAAAGATAGCAGTTAAACATTATAATTGCTTGGAAATTGAAAGCTGTACAGTATTTACATTTTTCAAAATGTGGATTAATAATAAGAAACAAATGTAATCCAGTGGTTTTATGGATGAGTCATTCATTGTGGACATTACTGAAGTAAACAATGGGCACAATTCTCAAATTTCACCACATCTAAGCTCCATTCAATTATAGCTCAGTAATAGTGCACACACTATCCAAATAAGATATTCTGGCTTCAGCTTCAGGTAGCACTTGGAAAGACCCATCAGAAACCTTGGAGACATAGTGATACTATATGCTAGTACAGATATAATATGATTTGCTATAAAACACTTCTTTATTTTTCTATCATATCGAAATTAAGAATCAGGCTAAATATGTTGATTGACTCTGCTCTTAAAGTACTAGTTATAATTATTACAATCCAGCTACAAACTCTTCATTTTACACACACACACACACACGGACACATTGTGCTTTCACCAGTCAGTACGTTTCATCATTTCTTGGGGTGAGCTAGAGGTACACAGTTGCAAACAGATTTAATTGAGAATTACATGGAGCTAATAATCTCTTTCTTTCTGAATCTCCAATTGTGACTGCTTTCTAAAATCATACTAAACCTGCTAGTCTCTGAAGATACCTAGCCCACTAAGTAATGCATTGAATTGCAAACATTCCCAACAATTGACAGAACACTGGCAATTATTGGATAGGGACTCACAATATAAAACAAATACAAAACTTTTGCTAATATTCCAGGACCTGTTTCTTGAAAATAAGCAAGTGGAAACAGTGGAAAATCTCTTTCATTCCAATAAAAATGGCCAGCAACTGTATCTGCTGTAGAGTTATGTTAACAAATTATAGAGGTTAGTGGACCAATACCGTATACCTATACCCATAATGAGAGGACAGTTGGTCAAAACACACCAAGATGAAATGTCAACTGATTCCTAGCTAGATTTGCATTGGGAGGAATAAAAATAGGTAAGTCAATGAAATTCTCCTTCCAACTTCCTTAGCTACTCTGCAAAACAGATTGCTGTGATATGTAAGCCACTGCACCAGAAAGAGATACACAAGTATTTGTCTTATAACATCCAAGGTTTGCTCTCCTTTATAAGTCTCTAGTCAGCAAATAATATAAAACAGTCAAACTCTGAGCTTCAGTAATTTGCAAATTGGAGCTGTGGGAAAAGCAACATTGTCCAGCTCTTTTTGTGGCTTCCCTTGCTAGTGTTCAGACTGACATTGCTCATGAACTTTAAATCCCACTGATCTCAAATGCTCTAATAACATAAACCTATAGATCCAACAAGAATATTGGGGGGGGGGGGAGGGGAGAGGAAATCACTTCAGTGTAAAGAATTCAAGATTCTTTAAATGTTGCATGTAGCTTAATACAAGATAACATGTCTGTGCCAGGACAAAGATTTTGTTTTTGAGAGGAGATAATATGCCAGGAAAGTTTCACACCTTCCAGAGTTGCAGCAAAGAAAATTATTTAGACTTGTTCATCATGTCAGCATGTACTGATTGTGTAGCCCAGCAGAGTTCCACAGAGACTAGACACAATCAAAGATCAGTTCACTTGGAAGTGTATGTCTGACCAATTTTCTTGAAGAAGTGATTAGAGTCCCAGAACCCATTCCAGAATAACTGCAAAAACATTCTGTCCTAAGAAAATGAGAATACAGAGCTGATAGGATTTCAAGCCATCAAGTTTACCTACAAGGCTATCACAGGTTTGAAACAGAAGAAGCATATTTTAATAGAAAACATATCAAGCTTGCATTCAAAAGGGGAATGATATGTAATGTATAATTTTAGTGAAAGGATGCAGCTGATACATTGAATAAAAAGGTAAAAAAGGAGAAATGTCTGAAAAATGTATATGAATTTTTGTATGAATGTTCATAAGGAGTTCTAAAAATATTTGCAAAGTAAAGTAGCAAGAAGCAGAATGAAACTTGGTAGTGAAATGGACAACATGTGATTTCTTTCCTATTTAGTCCCTGTCCCTGGAATATTCTTCTGAAAATCTGGAATTCCTCAAGACTCAGCCAGAAGGGATCCCAAGCCCTCAGAAAGTACATCATCTGACCCATCTCTGTGAGAGATGTGCTTCTGGGCCCTTGGTAAAAAGAGTCCAAGATTCCTAATTATGCATTCCATAGTAATGAGATGGGTGCAATCATTGCCCAGGCATCAGAAGGTGGATGTTCAGTCAGCAACCAGGCAAAGGAGTGATCCAGTAAGACAATAAAGATAATGTTTACACCCTTTTCAAAGGCATACAATTCTCTTGTTATGCCCGACTTATTATTATTTTATTATAATCACAAACCTGCAGCCAAATCTTTTTATGCTTCCTTCAAACTAGTATGGGGACGCCTCCATATTATTAAAAATGAACTGCAAATTGAAAATGAGATCTACTGAATTCCCCTCCCACTTTCATTCCTGAACCTATTTTAGTCTCATCCTCTTTCCAATTCTTCAGCAACTACTACTGGATCCTTTCTTTGCTTGTATGGGATTTTCCTAGAGTGAATAAGCTGTTCCTTGAAAAAAGTGAGGGGAAATTCTCACCCATGCAGTACACTCTGTTTCTTCAATGCAGCTCATGTAGTAGTGTGACATTTGCTGCATCATAGCACAACCTTGTAAACGTACTGTGGTTTGTCACCTTAGCCAGATGAGGTGATTTGGGAAGCAACCAGGAGCTGGCTTCCTTAAATAATTACTGCCTTAAGACTCAGTTCTGTAAGTTGAGTAGCTGTTCTGTTGATCCCAGAGACCAGCTAAACTAAATCTATTTAGAGATACCACTTCCTTTTGGATTTGATTAGCTCTTCCCCTTTCTGATTACCACTTTGTTTGGTATTTGCTGTTAAACTAGAAAGGACAGGCAACTTTGTCCTGGTTACATCTTACTAAATTTCAGAAGAACTGCTCACCTCTCTGTCTGCCTCCCCACACTGTAAGCTTTTCAACAGAGGCCTCTTTTTGAATGTCAGCACCATCTAAGATACAACAGAAAGCTAACTGGCAAAGGCCTACTTAACAGTGACATCACAAAGAATGTTTCCACTTAGATGTAGCACCCTTTTACAGAGCTATGCTGCTTTCTATTTCTTTAATTCTGCCCACCACTGTAAGGTATACATGTTTTGAAGTGTTAGTGTAACGTTAGCTTTTTTTTAAGCTAGCTTGGAAACATCTTTGTGGGATATAGTTGTACCTTTAATTTTTTTGTAATTTTTTTTAAATAACTTTTGTAAGTGTTGTAACATTTTTTTTCAACTAACGTTTTGTGGAAGAGCAAGATATCCATCTTGGAATAAAAGTATCTATTCTTGTTGTTTCTTTATCTCAGCATATCCTACTAGAGTCTAACAGACAACCTGATATAATCTGATATAGATAGATATAGATAATACTGATCATTATGATCAGCCACAGTCAATCCACTGCAGGTTGAATGCCTCTTCACTGAAGGTTTTTGTTTTGTTTTTTAGTGCCTTCAAGCCAGTATTGACTACTGGTGGTTGCCTGGACTAGTTTTCTTGGCAAGGTTTTTTGGAAGTAGTTTGTCCTTGCCTCCCTTATTTGTTTGTTTGTTTGTTTATTTATTATGCCACCCATCTCTCCGAATAGGTGACTCTGGGCAGCCTCTTCCTAGGACTGAGAGAGAGAGACTAACCTAAAGTCACTCAGCTGCCTTTGTGCCTAAGGCAGGACTAGAACTCACAGTCTCCCAGTTTCCAGCCTGATGCCTTAACTACTACATCAAACTGCCTTTCATCACTAAAAGTTATAGACTGTCATCTAACATGCTGGTCTAGTATGGGTGGTAGACAGATATTTTTGAACTTTCCATCTAGCATTGAAAGAGAGTGACTGGCTCATAGTCACCCAGTTGGTTTTCATGCCTAAGGGAGGATTAAAACCTGGGTTTTCCTGCTTCTAGTCCAGCACCTTAACACTATGCATGATCATCATCCATAAGCAGCTATTCTGCCTTCTATACTGGTGCCAGGTTCTATAAGGTTCTTTTCTTCTGCTGCTGGCATGTTCCTCCTCACAATATATGCTGCTATTTCCATCAAATAGTTTAGGACAGAAATTGTAACTGCCGACAAGAATAAAAACTCTATATTTCTTAGTTTCTTTGTTGTTACTTCTCAGGACAGGCTGAGAAGCTTATAATGATAAACTCAGTGAGTATTTTCTTAAGCAAACTTAAATTTGTTTTATCTCAGTCATTCTTGAGGGCTTTCTTCTAGAGATATAGAAGGCACAGCATTGAGTTCTGTTGCTAACATATTTCTGAAATAGAAAGACCTTTGAAATGAAAAATAAGGAGCTGTTTTATAAAGTGATTGCATGCTGTTCAGTGAAGACTATAAAAGTGAAGCTACCAATACTTAAGCAACAGCTGAAAATCATTATATAAAACCAGAAATTTTCCTCAGATTTCATTGCAGAAGCCTCCATCCTATTACTTTGCTGTGTTGCAGAAACACCAAAAGAAAACAATTACCTATGGAGCTATTATCGTAAGATATATGATGAAAAGCAGTTAAGCATTTCTGGTTGCAGCCATGTAGACATACACTGTAACCAACCTGCCAGTCTTTAAGACGGTCTTCTGAACCTATCACTCTTTAGAATATAAACAGGAAAAGTGTCTCAATAAAAATACAATCTGTTTTATTGTTCCCATTAAGTAATGTCTCTTTCAAATTAAGCTCAATACCCTGTAACTTCAGAAAAACATTCACACAGTATTTCTGACAACTGCATGCCAAAAATTTCTTCTTTGCTTTTTTTCAGGGTATTTTTCAACTTCCCACTCTAGGCTTTTGCCCTGCTATACGCTGGCAACATCCCACTGAAATACTAAAGCAACTCTGCATAGCTTCCAGGTCTAGAAAAGCCTTGCCAGATGTTTCCACTTACTGTGAGCAGTGTACATACTAACAAGCCTGAATTCCAGCTTCTTTGGTTGGTTACACATTAAAAAAAAAAAAAGTTTGGTGAAAAATTCACAATCATTTCTTCTTGTTAGACTTTCACTGTAGTAAAGGAAGAATCTTGGAGAGTATGGAGATGCATATTTCATAGATGAATGACATTCACTTTGTAGATTTAAGAACAGAAATAAATGAATAATAGCGACAGCAGACTTTCCCCAACACTAGTATCTGTGCTGCACTGAACTCAGTTTATATCCAAAATGACAGCTATCAGATGGTCGTTGGGAAGTATGGAAGATATAGTTCAACATATTTGAAGGACATCAGGGTGATGGAGGGCAATTTAAAACAATGTAGAACTGAAATCGTTGTCAAGCCAGTCCCTAAACGGGTACCCTTAGAAGTAAGTCCAATTTAAAAAAAGCTTATATTTTAAAAATTATTTACCACAAACACACAAGCTACTTGTACCACATTGTTAATAAAATTCTTCCCTTTGACCACAAATTAAAGCAGACAAGAAAAGAATTAAGACATTTTGATATGGAATCTACCCTGTTCAGCAAATGGTTCCTACAATTTTGGATGGGATAGAAGGAGAATATTGTTCAGCTCAGAATTTAAATTGTAGGAATAACAACTTTTTAAAACAAATCCATGAACAATTATTTTTAAAGGAAAAAAAAAACAGACAAAATACAGAATTAGAACAGTATAATTAGCTGAGTTTCAGAACATTGAATTATTCTGGCATTTGTGTAGGATTACCTGATTTTGAAGTATTTGCAAGTATTTTGTGTGACTATATGCCAAAAAGATAATGATAATATAACAAAGCATAAAGCAAATTAATTAAAATGAAGCTTGCAGTTCTGGAAAATTATATGCAGAGAATGAAACATCCATGTATCTGGAATTTTAATGTTTCCACTATATGTTCTGATGGCCAAGGTTTCCATAATCATAATTATAATGTAAAATGTAAAATTTCACACTTCTATTACAAGTTCAGATGTTTCCTTTCTGTTTTTAACACTGTATAAAAATGAACTGCTGTTTAGTTTAAGAAGTGATTTGTGGTTGTAGTAGAAATCTGGCCAGCAAAATGTTGTTGCTTTTGCTGTTTTCCCACTGTGCCCTTCATCACACAATATTTATGTGCAATAGACTCATGTAAAATATTACTTATTTATATTAGAATAAAATGCATTGTTTCCAAACAGTCATATCATAATACTTACTCCTGCCTCAAGGACAAATAAAAATATAATAGCTAATAAACACAGTCTAAAGGGTGTTGCAAAATGTTTCAATTTTGATCTGTTTCAATCAAAAATGAGATGTATTTGAGCATGAAATAGCTTTTTTTGGGGGGGGGGGTTTAGGCACGCCATTTCAAACTTGAAACATTTCCACGATGACCCGACCAACCCATTTCAAACATATGACAGCTACTTCAAGCTTGAAACAAATCTTTTGAACTCTAACTAGGATCCTGAGTCTCTCAAATGTGGTGGGGGGAAAATAAATAAAAATTCAAATTCAAACTGTATTGCATACCACTATTAGCTTAAATAAAAGTTTTGGAGTTAAATTTAAAAAATGTTTTAATCCTTCTACATTTACGGAATTATTCTAGAGAGGTATATTTCTTTTATGATTTAAATTTGAAACTAAATCTAGAAAAAAATTGAAGAAGACTGAAAGAATCACTACTTTTTGGAAATAATTTCTTTGCTAAATTAATATTTAATTGAATCTAAAAATTATATATCCTCCCACTGAAACTCTTTCCCCAAATCTAGCATAGCAGATTCGGTCTAAATATTAAAATGTTGAGAAATCACAAGAATGTTAAATAATTAGTCAACTGAGATTATAGCACTAAAATTAAAATAAATTGCTATCTTTATAGATGATGGTAAAATCCCATAGTTAATGAGATATTTCAGTTTATTTATTAATCAGTAATTGCTAAATAACTATGACATACAAAGGCTGGTAATTATTATTTTATGCACTGTGACTTTTGTAGTTTTCAACTATAGCTGAACTTCTGAAAACTAATTGCATGAAGGATAACTTACCAAAATGGTGGTTACAGTTAAGGAACGATTAGAAAGGGAATCAGTTATGTTTGCTGGTTTTCCTTTTTGATTCTCAGTCATATTAAGGCCACTTGCAGGATCCCAGGTTCCAATCTATGAAACAGGATAAGAATATATCATGCATGAGTTATTTTTCATCTACTAGAAGAACTGTTTAAACTGCAAACACTGTCTCCTGTTCTCCTGTGGTGTAATTTCAGCTATCATTTTATTAGCAGCAGCTGGCCTAAAATGTGATTCACTGAATTTCAAAATATATGTAGCAAAGTGTGACATTTGGGGTAAAAATGATGTATAGACTATTGAGTGCATAATTTTCCATTTAAATTCTGTTCTCTAAAGGAGATGATAGGTAGGTAGGTAGGTAGGTAGGTAGGTAGGTAG